ACCAGAGTTCTGTTAAGGTCAATGATTATCTTCTTATTTTTAGCGTTGTGATTGACTAGAAACCTCTGCTTCAGCAGCCGTGCAAGTTTATTATGGGCACTAAGAACTGTATTGCTCTCAGTTCCAGTAAGGCAACATTAGACGATTAAAATCGTTTTTTTTTTTTCTTTTGTTTGTTTTATCCGAAGGGAGTGAATCAACTTTTTAAGAGCTAGCGCTGAACCTGCCAGGAGCACCCATTTACAATTCTGTGTTAACAAAGAATGACAGGTCCTTTGCAAAAGTTGGTAATGATGGCATCAAACATTCCTCACACCTGTTAGGTTTAAATTATTAGCATTGTCTTTTAAACCAGAACTAAAGAGAACCAGAAAGAAGGGCATGGAAATAAAATCGCCTCTCAAGGGACCTAATGACACCACGCGTCTTGCCCCTCGTCCTACAAAATTTAACTGCGAACTGAATTTCCTAGGATGTGCTGCTGGGTGGGTGGCCGACATCTTCCGTGGCAGGGGACTCTCGCGTTCCAGATCCGAGTGGATTATTAAATAGCTGGGCGAAATGCCAGGGAGCCCTTTACCGACCCATTAAACAGCAGGGAGAACGGGCGGAGTAACCCGAATCCGCTCCGGCGCGGAACGCGGCGGCCCGGCCCAGCGGCACGCTGACGCGCAGGTAACCCGGAGCTGCGTCCTGCAGACGCCGCCCGCCCGCGAACAGCGCCACCGGCTTCCGCCTGGGGCGTCCCCAGCTCCGCCGGCCTCTGCGGCAGGGCCGCGGAAACCCCGTAGGAGCAGGGCAGCCGAGGAGCGCGGCGCGCGGTCGCGCTGCTGCAATATTCTTCCGCTGATCGCAAAGAGTCCCAGCCCCGCTCCTGACTCATGGATCTCCAGGAACGCTGTAATACCAACTAATAGTGAAATGTGGATTTTGTCATCGACTCCCTTAGGATTTCATCTGCGGTAACAAATCCGAGGAGCACATTTTTTTTGCGGCTTCCGAAGAGAGATAAGAAAATTCCTCCGCGAGAAACGGGTTCCGGCCACGAGCCTATAAAAAACGGGCGGCGCCGTGCGGCTGTCTTTTCAGTCGGGCGCTGAGTGGGCTTTCGGATCATGTCTGGTGGCTCCGCGGATTACAACAGGTACGGCGCTCCTGGGGCGGCCGCTGGCCTGCAGTGAAGGTCACTGGCTCCCGCAGTTGAGGTGGGTGGCTTGCGGCCACACTGCAGGTATGCGGGGTTTTTCGTAGGGCACACAGAGTCCCCTTGTGTCCTTCGAGAAGCTTCCATGATGGGAGGGCTCCAGATGGTGGGGAGAGAGGACGGATAGGAGGACCGAGTGTTAAGGGTGCCCTTCCTTAGGAGACATTGTGACATCGCGGCCGCTGCCCCTCATCATGCGGGACATGGCAAGCAGCCGTGGCGCAGTCCGCTTAGGACAGGGTGACCGGGTCCCGACTTTTATTTGCGGCCAGTGGCGCGAGCTGGGGTTCCTAGGGTTCTGTGGAGGTGGGAGATTGGACGGCCAGAGGGCGATGACACCGGACCGTAAACGGGGCACCGACGAACCGTTGGCATGGTCCTGGCCGGGCCTCGGCGTCAATCACGCCGGCTTGCGCAGAGTTAGGGGCGGAGCTCGGCGCGCGCAGCGCTCGCGAGAGCTGCTTTTCCCAAACGGGAGGGCCTGGTCCTAGGGCAGTAAGTAAAGGGGCTCTAATAATTTAAACTTAACATTCTCAGCCATTGGGAAAGGAGAACGGCATTTAGTCGCCATGCCACCTATCTTGGGTATTTTTTCAGTAGAGTACACGTGCGTGGAGGATAATTGGGGACGGGGCGGAAAGGGCAATCCCTTTGAAGGGTCTATTAGGCTTGGAAGGGCTAAGTTGTCTAATGCAGTGTTCTTGTCAGCAGAGAACATGGCGGCCCAGAGGGAATGGACCCCGATGGTGTCATCGAGGTAAGAAGGTAGTTGTGGATGTTAAAGGCTTGGGAAAGGTAAAGTTTTTCCATCTTACTCATAGTTTAATCATTAACTTTTACAGAGCAACTGGAATGAAATTGTTGATAACTTTGATGATATGAATTTAAAGGAGTCTCTTCTTCGAGGCATCTATGCTTACGGTTTTGAGAAGCCTTCAGCTATTCAGCAGAGAGCTATTATTCCTTGTATTAAAGGTAAAACTCACTGACACTTAGACTAAATGTGTTCTGCATATATATGGACCATAAAAGGGAGTAACCTTTGGGAATGACTAGCACCTGTTTGTATTCCTTAAGTGAAATGATGGCAATCATCTTTCGGGACTGAACCTGAAATGAAGAGATACTCTTTGCTGATCACTTAACTTGGGCATAACTTATGTTCCAACTGGAATACATGGTGTATAGTAGACTGACAATTTGATGTGGGATCGGTAAATGTGTATCCTACTTTTTTTAGGGTATGATGTGATTGCTCAAGCTCAGTCAGGTACTGGCAAGACAGCCACATTTGCTATTTCCATCCTGCAACAGTTGGAGATTGAGTTCAAGGAGACCCAAGCACTAGTATTGGCCCCCACCAGAGAACTGGCTCAACAGGTATTGATAGTGTAGTTAAAAAAACTGCTTGCGTGTTGCATAGGTTTCAGGTTTCACAACTGTGAAGAATCTAAAAACGTATGAATCGTCCTATTAATATCAGAGCCCTTATTTAATTATCCATGCATGCAGGAAGTTTTTATTGAAAGCTAAGCAGGAGCTGGGTATTGTAGGTATGGCTTGTAGGGTTGTACCTCCAACAGTTGAGATGAGAACCCATAGGTTTCTCAAAGGGTGGATTATATCTGTACCCATTTTAAAACATGGAATCCAGTTGTGCAACATGAAAACTGCAGTGACATGTTAAACATTTGACTGTCTCAGTAGTTTGTGATGCATCTGTTGCATGCTGTTTCAAAGCACTGCTATATTGGCTTTGAAGTAACACATCCTAATAAAGCTGGAAGCTTTATTCAGGTCAAGATAAGGCACAGTGCATTATGGGAGAAAAATTAACATTTGTCCTTACAGAATATTTCACTCTACCCTAGACAGTGAAGAATGTTCTAATTTTTTAGTTAGTTCCCAGTTGGTGTTAGGCAACAGAGTCCCCAGTTTTACAAGACAGGAGGGAGCAGTAGATAGTTGAGAGAGTTGTAAACTTGAAATTCTAAGGTGCTATGCATGCATAAAAGCATTTGGCAGTTGATAGTCCAATTGTGCCTTGGAGCTTAAGTCTTAGACATTACAGTTTTATAGGATAATGAAGATTTTTTGCTTTTAGATCCAAAAGGTAATTTTGGCTCTTGGAGATTATATGGGAGCAACTTGTCATGCTTGCATTGGAGGAACAAATGTCCGGAATGAGATGCAGAAGTTGCAGGCTGAAGCTCCTCATATTGTTGTGGGTACACCAGGAAGAGTGTTTGATATGCTAAACAGAAGATACCTTTGTAAGTATTTTTTAAGGTTTTTTTCTTTTTTTAACAAATGGCTTTCAGAACTTTGAAATGCAGTATGACTTTCTTTATTAACAGCTCCAAAATGGATCAAAATGTTTGTTTTGGATGAAGCAGATGAAATGTTGAGCCGAGGGTTTAAGGATCAAATCTATGAGATTTTTCAAAAATTAAATACAAGCATTCAGGTAAGGTTTGTTTGTACTCATGGGTTTGATTTCATGCAGGTACAGTTACAATACAACTGAAGTGTTCTATTGTCCGTTCCCCCTGCTGAAAGTATTTGATACTTTACTATCTCTGCCTAGCTCTACCATAGTAAGGCAGAGACGCTTGGTTTCAAACATTTTTTCACCTGTAGTATTAGATTAAGAGTTCAACAAAATACACAGGTAAAAACAACCATTTTCTCTCTTAAAGGTTGTGCTGCTTTCTGCCACAATGCCAACTGATGTGTTAGAAGTGACCAAAAAATTCATGAGAGATCCAATTCGAATTCTGGTGAAGAAGGAAGAATTGACCCTTGAAGGAATCAAACAGTTTTATATTAATGTTGAAAGAGAGGTAATTTGTCTTATTCTTAAATATGAAAGTATAAATTTCCCTCTACCTTCTTGTATAAGCACTGTGCTAAAATTGCAGAAACTAGGATAATATCTTGGTTTTTGTAATAATGATAGCAGAGTACACACAAGAAGAAAAGTAACTGCACTGGATCCCAAAGACAGGGGTGGACCTCTTTCTTAATGTCCAGTGTCCTTTGTCTTAAGATTTGGTGCAATAAGTCTTCAGATCAGCAGTTTTCAACATGTGGCTTTGCAACCCCTTTTGAGGTTATCAGATAATTCTACATATCAAAAGATGATTACATTATGATTCATAAGACCACAAAACTATGTAGTAGCAACAAATTTTATAGTTGGGATAACTGTTTAAAGGGTCACAGCATTAGGGAAGTTGAGAGCTACTGATTTTAGAGAGCTTTTTTTATGGAAAATGTTTAACATAACTTTCTTTAACCTACATTAGGAGTGGAAGTTGGACACTCTATGTGACTTGTATGAGACATTGACTATCACACAAGCGGTTATTTTTCTCAATACAAGGCGCAAGGTGGACTGGCTCACAGAGAAAATGCATGCCAGGGACTTCACAGTTTCTGCTCTGGTAAGAGTTGGATTTAGTAATGCTAGTTAAACTATATATTAAGCAGGATTTAACTACAATATGGCTGTTAAGTGCTGTGTTGTCGTTCCCCCTGCTCAAAACAATATTGTTTCTTAACTATACCTGTCTGCTCTACATCCTGTAGCAGCCAGGGACGCTTGGTCTCATACATGTAGAAATTAAATGTGTATCTTACTGGAGATTCTTGAACTAAGGCTTGTTAACATTTGCAGCATGGTGACATGGACCAGAAGGAAAGAGATGTCATCATGAGAGAATTCCGGTCAGGGTCAAGCCGTGTTCTGATCACTACTGACTTATTGGTAAGTTTTTTTTTTTTTTTTGGTAATGCACCAAAGGCTGTATTTGTGGGGAAGGTTTCTTAAATAACCTTAACCAACTTAGGCTATTTGGCAGAATGATAAGACCACACTCCACAGTGGGCTATACCATTTAGTATGGTTCATTACTATATTGTGGCCTACATTGATTACAGTGTTTTGAATTTTAGGGTATTGAATGAAAACCTGGTTTTTATTTTATTTCAGGCTCGTGGGATTGATGTGCAACAAGTGTCCTTGGTTATAAACTATGACCTACCTACCAATCGTGAAAACTATATTCACAGGTGAGGAGAAAGCATTTCCAATACTTCTATTGGAGAAGTAAATTCAAACGTTTTCCTACAGTGTTTTGTACTCAAGATGAATGGCAATTCAGGGAGTAGATTCCAGTAAAAAGGCATAGTTTTGTCGAGGTCTAATTATAAAATTGGATTTGGGAAGATTGGTCAGTACAAAGTGGGAAAACTTGTAATGTGGTCAAGGTTGTGTACATGCAGATTAGGTTGCTTTAGATTTTTTTTTTTGGTCTTAGTTTATGTTTGAGCCTTACTAGTGATTTTTCTTGTGTTCACGTGCTTCTTTCTTGGTGATTGATTCTATATAGTTGGGATTTTCTTGGTGTTGCTGGTAGCATTTTGAGTGATTCCCTGGTTTAGTTATAGTGGCTTTTATCCCTAAATAAATTGAATTGTACTTTGTTATATGATGTAAAAAAAGACTTTTTAAAAAATACAGGAGTCGATAGCGGCAGTTGATGACGAGATGGCGCTCAGAAACGGCGTTGACGTAATTTAGGACGTGGAATCATAAGCGAAACAGCACACTGTTTGAATAAAGAGCGAGTCGGTATTTATATTTGATTTTCTTTTGTCATGATTATTTGATATTTTAAGTTGTTCCAGCCCAAGGCATTCTGTTATGTTAGCATTTCTGATAGGGAGCATTAGGTGGTTTGTATTGTCTGGTAGTTGGTAGGAAGGTGGAGCTGTTTTGGAGTACACGTTTGAGTAACTTTGAGTATAACGTGTGAAAAGTGAGCAAAAAGCAGTGATAAGTTTGGGTTACCATACCAAATAATTGTTTTCCCACTGGAAAAGTAAGTTTTAGAAAAAATAGTTAACCTTGCAGCATTTGTATTTACAGTTTACAGTTCCAGAAGTGCGTCGAAATGGATTTTATAACTGTTTTCTTTTATCCCTGGTGTCTACATCTGTCCCAGGCTGACAACTGCTCCTGGCTGGCCCACTTTGGTATGGGCTTTAATTTCACCCCAAACACAATACTGTCATCTGCTTTATTATAATGCTCAAGGTGCCTATCTCATTTTGCAGCCAGACAAGCCTTGAATTCTTTTGGCACTAACTGCAAAGGAAGATGGTTCCCCCACCTCTGGATATTGGTTTTAGCAGCTAGTGCTCCACTTAGAAGCACGAACTATAACCATAAGTAAACAGCAGCTGATGGTTAACAAGTGGATCGTCATATTCAGTAGTTTTAAGTAATACTAAAGCGAATTTGTGACTGTTGCTTTCTTTTTCTTACACAGAATTGGCAGAGGGGGTCGATTTGGGAGGAAAGGTGTGGCTATAAACTTTGTTACTGAAGAAGACAAGAGGATTCTTCGTGACATTGAGACTTTCTACAATACTACAGTGGAGGAAATGCCCATGAATGTGGCTGACCTTATTTAATTCCTGGGATGAGATAGTTTGAATGCAGTGCTCGCTGTTGCTGAATAGGCGATCACAACGTGCATTGTGCTTCTTTGAGAATATTTGAATCTTGTCTCAATGCTCATAACGGATCACAAATACAGATTCTGATAGCAAAGCGACTTTAGTCCTGAGCTCTTGTGAGGAAAGGCATTGGCTTTATCCTCTTTAGAGTTAGACTGTTGGGGTGGGTATAAAAAGATGGGGTCTGTAAAATCTTTTTTTCTTAGAAATTCATTTACTAGTTATGTAGAAATGGTTGTATTAGATGTTCTCTATCATTTAATAATATACTTGTGGACTAAAAGGTATAAGTGCTGTATAAAATCAGCCAATTATGTTAAACTAGCATATTTGCCTTTATTGTGTTTCTCATTAGCCTGATTAGAAAGGCCGTTAAAAGTGATTTTTCTTTTTTTAGAAAACATTTGGATGCATTTTGTTTGGTATTGTATTTATTCAATAAAGTATTTAATTAGTGCTAAGTGTGAACTGGACCCTGTTGCTAAGCCTCAGCAAGCAATCATATCCTAGGTAGGGTTAAACCCCCAGTAAAATTGCCATATTGCACATGTCTTAATGAAGTTTGAATGTTAAATAAATTGTATATTCACTTTATGAGTTTTTGTGGTTTATTTTTTTGGTCATTCGTGCAAATCAACTTTAACAATTCTGAGTCAGCTGCTGCATCACAGTTGCACAAAGGCTCATCAACTGCAGGTGTTCATCTGCCCCGTCTGCTAAACATTTATCCACTTCCTGTAAAAGGAAATTGTAAAGTTTAAATTGGGCACTCAGGAGTCAGAACCCTGTCTCAGTTACTAATTTTGACTAATTTTGTTGCACTTACAGCAAGTTTTTCTGTAATGATAGACTTCTGTTTATCAGAAAGGTCTTCGTTTTCTACTACCACATCATGAAGTTGATTAACAAGCTGAACAGCTGCTTGTCCCTCATCTATTAGGTCCTACAAAAGAAAGGTTTTTGTCTTTTTGAGACAGGCTTACCAATCATTTGAAGTTTTTTTCCCCCCAAGTAACCTTTAAAGTTCATTACCTTTACCACAGCTTCTAGTTTGTCAAAAGAGCCACTTTGACATGCAGTGAATATTCCATCAATGGTTGTGGCTGGTATTACCTGAATTAAAAAAAAGGGGACAAGGTCTCAAAAGTGAACAGGACTGCCACGAGTTGCCAAGATAACTACTGCTTACCCCAGCAATGTCTGTGATCACATCCCTCATGACTTCCTTTCCACCCGTAAGTCGAGTAGCACTTTGAAGAAATGTAATGGCTTTCCGTAGATCTCCTTCTGATACTTTAACAAGATAAGCTATTACCTGAAAAGAGAATTGGGCTGGCCAGATGGCTCACCAGGTGAGGGTACAGGTACTTAACCTACACAAAAGATCCCACATGCCAGAGAAAAACAAGTCTTCCTATTTGGGGCAAAGTTTTTAGTCTTATAGCTGGGTTCATGGAGGTAGCACCCCTATGCAAATGGACAAGATTTTTGCTTTTGAAAGTAATCAGGTGTGAAGGGGCCACTTAGAAAAGTTAACTCTTGAGTTCGAGACCAGCCTGGTCTACAGAGCTAGTTCCAGGACAGCCTCCAAAGCCACAGAGAAACCCTGTCTCAAAAAGCCAAAAAAAGCTCTGTTAATGGATTAAGGGTATTACAGTCTATACTTTAAGCATACTGAAAACTGTCATATGTAATGTATGTGGAATAGTGTTTCAACTGTTGCTCAGTTAATTTTCAGGGTCTCATAACCATAATTAGAACTTACCTCATGGCTAATTTTGACATTTTCCTTCTCAGCAATATCCAGTAATCGCTCCCGCTGAATTTTATCTGACAGAGGTTTGAAGCGGAACTTTGAACATCTAGAAGTGAGGGGTTCAATTATTCTGGAAGAGATTGAAAACCATGATGGTATACTTGAAAGTAGCACACAATGAGGGCTTTGAATGTTCTCACTACAAATCCAAGGTGAAAGATGAGTTCAGTTACTTTCATTATTACACAAGTATGTATGTATATATAGACATGTCACTGGGTACAAATACCTAACATTACTATGTGTCTGCAGGGCAAATACATACCGACTGACATAGTTGCAGATGAGGCAGAATCTGGTTGTTTTTGACTCCTTTTCCATGGTACGTCTTAAAGCTGCCTGAGCAGCTGAGGTCATAGAATCTGCTTCATCCAGAATTACAATCTTAAAGGGTGGACATGGCTTCCCACTAAATCAGGAGTTGAACACTGATTAGTACCTTGCTGAGATATACAATACAGTTTACACACTTGCTTCTTTCAGTATGTGGTAACCTATACCCTCTAAACTAATTCAGCTTACTATGGTGTGTGTGTAATGTGTATGGGGTAGGTGCATGCATGCCAAGCTTATTATGATGTCTGTTTATAAAATGATACAGGAAAAATGAAATTTAACAAATATAAATTACTGTTTTGTGCTTTTGGGTTATTAAGAGAAGGGAGTAACTTAAACCTTCTTTCATACTCCAGCAATAGTTCAGAGTGGGTATCCCGGATGATTTATTTCTTAGGTCAGAATGACATTGTTTCTCCAAGCTACTCAGAATGATGTGCAATTTAAACCAAGTATTTCTGAATTCTCCATTAGTTGTTTTTAGATCACAGTTAACCATAGGTAACTGACAGTGTAGACAGTAAGATTAGGGGGTGGGTGGGGAAAAGACCTACAGTATTCAAGAACTGTAAAGCCATCACCAACTTTAATGTTAGACTCTTCATCTCAAAAAGCAGCTGTTATTAGGAGTCAGTTTAAGATCCCCAGCTCCAATTCCTCATCTACTTGTCTCCTAAGCTTTGACTATTCTGGAGGTTAATGGTCTATAGCTGGGTTTTTCACTAAAGTGTATTTTTAAGATTAATCCATATAGCCGTGGGTGCCAATATTACTTTTGTATTGTCAAATAGGCAGATGGGTATTTCACATTTTATTCATTCACTAATCATGTGGATATTTTGGTGTTTTGTTTACTAGGAGTAATTATGTTTATACACATTTTAGGCACTCATATATGTTTATCTTTCATGTATGTATACTAGGGATGGAATTGATGGGTTATGTGGTAATTCTTTTCCTTAACAACAACAAAAAAAATCAGGCTGGAGATGGCTCAGCAGTTAAGAGCACTGGCTGTTCTTTCTCAGGACCTGGGATCAATTCAGAAATAAATAAATCTAAAAACACATATATTTGTTCATTGGCATATCGCATGTGTGTATGCCTGTGTGAGGGTGCAGGTACAGACAGTTGTGAGCCACCATGTGGGTGCTGGGAATTAAGCCTGGGTCCTCTGGAAGAGCAATCAGTGCTCTTATCCTTTTAAGCCATCTCTCTAGTCCTCATGGGTAATTCTTTTTTTGGGGGGGTTTCAA